GGCACAAACAGGCCCAGTGAGGGACCGAGCCCGTTGGCCGAGCCAGCAGCCGACCGCCTGGCCACAGCAGGCTGGCGGTCCGGCCAGACTGAAAGCAAATCGGTTCAGACCGGTTCAGCGTATATTTTAATGATATAAGTTCCGGTTCATGTTTATATTCCATTTTCAGTTAAATTCCGGGTCCAGTCCAGTTCAGTAAATTCAAGTCAGTCCAGTTCTATGTTAAACCAGTTCCGGTTATACCGGTCAAGTCCAAATATCATGTCAAGTTCCAGTAGAGCATCTTAACATATTAAACAACTATATTTTATCAGTCTAAGCATAGTATTTAGTAATTGTTTATATTATGTTTCAGTTTGATCAGGCTACGATTATCAGCATTGCCTTTTCATTTAAACGGATCAGGTGGGGACTCAGACTGGGTATTACATTGATTATAAAAATTTCTACCATGTTTGAGGTATGTCTTATCAGTATCCGCTCGGAATGGTCGCCGGTCCATTCTGGGTTTTAGTGGCGTTAGTCTGCCCACTAGAGTGTGCACATGGTGTCCGTCATTTTTATGCTGGCAGATGTTCAGGTATCAGACAGGTGATGATTATCACGACATCAGTATCAGATCATGATTATTCAGTACCGGTTTCAGTTCAGTTCAGTTATATATGCCAGGATCATGTTATTGTAATTATTTTCACTGTTTACTTTTGTATGAGTTTCTGCGGAGCACAGTGGATTTATTGCTCATGCCCCATGCACATTATTCATGTCTTTTAGGTCACAGGGTCGAAGCCGAGGAGTGAGCTGGCGGTTGGTTTAGGACTTTGATTTCATGTTTAAAATGTTTTGGCGACGCTACGTTTTTCCGCTGATTATGACTATTTGTCGAACTTGGCTTTTGATCCGACTTTAAGTCGGTTAATATGTTATGTTAAACCATTTTGTTTTCTTTAAAACTAAAATAACGGTTTTCAGATAAAGTCATGTTTTATGGTAGCACTCTGAATCAGTATTTCGCAAAATAAATGTTTTTATTTTGAAAAAGTTTGCGAAAAATGCACTCTGATTTTCATGAAATAGCGGGGTGTTACAGTTGGTATCAGAGCACGTTTCTGCGTCTCTGAAAATTTTTATGAGCCAAAAATTTTCAAAAACCTGAACCGTCACACTCACGCCTCGCCGACTACAGGTAAGTGTTGATTTATGTTTTAAGTTATAAACAAATTACTATGTCTATGCTCAGAAATTTCTCAGTTATAATGTAGTACGCGTTTTTGCAAAATCTTTGAATAAAAATATTTAATTTGCGAAATACTGATTCGGAGTGTTACTGTAAAAACATGACTTGTCTTGAAAACCGTTATTTAAAGTAAATAAAACGGTTTAACGTAATATAAACACCGGTTATAAATTGGGTCTGAGTTTGACAAAACAGTAATAAATAGCGGAAAGCATAGCGTGGCCAAAACATGATTAACATATTTACAAAACTTCTGAATCGAATGCCCGCTCACTCCTCGACTCCGACCCTTTGACCTGAAAAACATGAAATAAGTGGGGCGTGAGCACTAAGCCACTGTGCTCTGCAGAAACTCATACTGAAGTAAACAGTGAAAATAATTGCAATATCATGATCCTGGCATATACATAACCTGAACATGAAACCGGTAATAAACATGAACTTGATAATCATCACATGAACCATGACCGTTACCTCATCTGCCAGCATAAAAATACCGGACACTATGTGCACACTCTAGTGGGCAGACTAGGGCCACTAGAACCCAGAATGGACCGACAACCATTCCGAGCGGATACATGACATGAAATACATACCTCAAACATGGTAGAGTAATTATAATCAATGTAATACCCAGTCTGAGTCCCCACCTGAACTGTTGATCTGAAAATGTAAGTGCTGATTGCCTGCAAAACTGACATATATAAACAAAGACTAAGTACTATGCTCAGACTGATTAAAATAGCTGTTAAGATGCTCGTCTTGATCTG